GGCACTCTGGGGGCTGGGCCAGGGGGCTAGCAGCCTAGCCTGGTCATCACCACCAGTGAATGAGCCCCTCCGTGCCAGTCTCAATAGCGAGCCCTTCATATACATATAACCCTGCTACATCCTTGTGGGTGGAAATTATCCTTGTTGTCCCCATTTTACAGATGAGGAAATTGAGGCTCAGACTGGTTGAGTTGCCACAATCACCCAGAGAGTGAGCTTCAGAGCCCTAATTTAAATGCAGACAAGGGGCTTCAGACCCCATCCTGTGGGTGCTCTTAACCCTCACACTGACCCTCACTGGTACTGAATAGGGGGAGGGGTAACAGGAAACTAAAGCCTAGAGGCCCTCAGAAGGCAATTGGGGGCAGGGCAGGGACTAGGGTGGAAGAAGTAAGGTAGAAAATTTAAGGAGGCGCTAGCTCTTGGGGTTGGGTCCCTGCCAGCACCTGCCCTGCACTCCCAGGCCCCTGAGAGCGAGGGCCTCTTTGCATTTTTTAAAAAGCATGTATCGATTTAGTGTATCAATTTTCAAAATATTCTCCAAATTTTTAATCAACGTGTTTTCCCGTATCTAATGAGAATGTTCCAGAGTCCATATAGAACCTTTCTTAGAAAGGTACAATAAGATTGGGAGGAGGGAGTAGGTTGGGCTGTGCTGGCTGGAGCTGATGGTCTTTTTAAAAAATTGTGATGAAGTTCTGATAACATAAAATTCACCACTTTAAAGTGTAAAATCAATGGCATCTAGTACATTCACAGTGTTGTGCAACCATTACCTCTAATTCCAAAACGTTTTCATTACCCCAAAATAAAACCCCAGACCCATGGAGCAGTCACTTCCCATTCCCCTCTTCCCTCAGCCCCTTGAGAGCCAGGCAAACCAGGCCTCCTTAAATCTTGTGCCCCAGGGGTCTCACTTGCCTCACCCGAGTCTGGCCCTGCTAGGGGGTGCTGTTCCTGGGCTGCTTCTCACTTCCCAGGTTCAGTGTGACCCCTTACAGGAGGAGAGGAGGCCCATAAACCCCTCAGAAAGGCTAGTTGTCTCTCACTCACATCCCTCATCTTCTGAGACCACCAACAGCCTGGGGCTGAGCTGTGGACAGCCCCTACCCAGGACACACACACACACACACAGACACACCAACAGACACACCCACAGACACACACACACACACAAAGACACACCCACAGACACAGACACACCCACAGACACACACAGACACACACACAGACACACACACAGACACACACACACACACAGACACACCCACAGACACAGACACACCCACAGACACACACACACACACACCCACCCACACCCACACCCACACCCACACCCACACCCACCCACACCCACACACACGCACTCTGTCTCTCTCTCTCTCTCTCTGTCTGCAAGACCTAAAACGCCAGGCATGTAGCACAGCCTGGGAGGGGCCCCTGGGACACCCCAGTCAGGCTTTGCTCACCATGGGTGCCCACACCCAGCCTGCCTCCAGAAGAGCGCCAGGAATCCCGGGCAGCTTTGCTGGGTCGGGGGCGGGTGTTTGGGGTGGGGGGAGGCGAGGCTGCTATCTCTGGGACAGAGAATTCCGCCCACCCTGGAGCCTGTGTGGGGTCACATGGACCGGCGAAGGTGCAGTGAGAGGTTTACAGCCAGCCCCTCAGCCTAATACAGAGACCAGGAATGTTCTGCATATTTTTAGAGGAGGAATGAAGGACTCCAAATAGTCCCCAAGAAGTTTTAATTGTGTGCTTTGAGCCTGCTGCCGTCCAGCCTGTGTGAGGGAACACATATTCCTGCCCCACCCTCCAGCCTGCGTGAGGGAACACTTGTCAGGAGCACTGGAAACCACAGGAGCAAACAGCTAGGACTTTGTGTGATGGGGACGCGTTGGCATTTCTGGACAAGGCAGAAAAAACGCAGCTGCCTCCCCCACCCCAGTGCCTTATCGCCTGGAGCCGGCTGGGAGTGAGGGGGTGAGGGTAGGAGCGCCTGTGGGGAGCCACCTGTGGGGTGGGGGGTGGGTGCGTAAGATCTGGAAGCCAGTGCCAGCTTGTCTTAGCTATGTCACTGTGGGCAAGTGACCTAGCCTCTCTGTGCCTCAGTTTCCTCCTTTGTCAAATGGGGACAAGCAGAGCACCTGCTTCATAGGCTGGGTGTGGGGTTGCCTACAATAGAAGGTAAAGCGCTGGCCAGCTTGCAAGCTTTCCAGCTATGTTATCTTCATTTATTATGAAGTAGCATTTGTTAGCAGGGGATGGAGAAAGGCTGCTCCCCCAACTCAGCTGCTTAGTGGGTGAGGCTGTGGGGGTCCTCTGGTCCACCCTGTGGAGCTGACCTTTGCTAGTGGCCTTGCCAGACCCGTCTTAGACTATAGGTCCACTCTAAACAATAGCTCTTCCTTTATTTGGAAGGCTGCGGTCAGAGATTCAGGCCCTGAAGTCTCACAGTTAGCTGGGCTTAAATCCCAGCTTAGCCATTTATTCACTGTGCGACTATGGGCAAGTTCCTTGACCTCTCTGTGCCTCACTTCGCATTTCCATAAAATGACATGATGATAGAAGACTGAGTGAGATAGTACTTTTCAATTGCCTGGCACAGAGCGAGAGCTCAGTATTTGTGAGATACTGTTTTTAAAATACTGCTGAATACCCCTTTGTATACACAGTCATACTTAGTCTTCGCAAGCACCCTTAGAAAGGGGTGAGAGGGCCCAACAAGTTCCAGGGGGAGAAATTCTGAGGAGTCGAATAAGATTTTGAAAAATGGATTTCAGATGTATACTCATCTCCTGAAAAAGTGGTGAGGCCTTCCTTTACTTAGAGGTTCTTGGGTGGTGTAAATGGCTAAGTGTGCGGCTGCTAACCAAAAGGTACTATCCACCAGTGAAGTATCTATGGGACACCCACTGTGTGCAGACACCAGAGGGACCAAACCCAAAACCAGACTCGTTGCCATCAAGCCAGTTCTCCCTCATAGTGACCCTAGAGGACAGAGGAGGACTGCCGCATAGGGTTTCTAAGGCTGTAATCTTCAGGGAAACAGATTGCTACATCTTCCTCCCATAGAGTGGCTGGTGGATTTGAACCACCGACCTTTTGGTTAGCAGCCAAGCGCTTTAACCACTGCACCAGTAGGGCTCCTTCCCAAAGGTACAGAGGTGGCTAAAATCTCAGGGCCCCCCAACCCCCTCTACTCTGCCCTCTGCCCCCATCCCTCTACCAAAACCACTTCTCACAAGCTCATCCAAGGCTTCCTAAGCCCCAAACCCCATAGTCTTTTTTATTATTATTATGAAAAATAACATTTCTCAGCAATGAGTATATCCAGCGCCCAGACCTTGGTTTCTAAATCCCATTTTCCAATAAAAGGAACCACCCTTAGAGAAATGACTGATTCTAGGGCTGGGGCAGGAAAAACACAAGATAGGCCTGGAAAGTAAGTTCCAGAAAGTAAGGGTGGGGGCATGCCGAAGGGACACAGGAGCCAACCGGAAAGGTCCCAGTGGCCAAAGCTGGAACAAGTTGAGCAACAAAATAAATAATGTAGAATTGGACTTTAACTCAAACTAGAAAATAAATATACATGAGTCCACAGCAATAGAAATCAATGACTGAATGAATAAACAAAGGAGAAGTGACATAGCTTCTTTAGGGAAGAACTGCAAATAATACAGGTAGGTACTCCTTCTGCCGGGAGGTGGAACTTAACCCCTGCTCCCCTGGGTGGCTGGACTTAGGGATTCACGTCCAAAAAAACAAAATATGGAAAGGGAAACTTCCCCAGTCATTTTAGTAATTTTCGAGTCGATAAGCTTGGCAGACACCACCTTAACCAAGTGACGAAGGTCAGCGTCACCAGTGATGTCACGTGGGCATCCTGTGCTCCCTGGTGTGATGTGATGAGAAAGAGGCTTCTCTGTGGCATTCTTCCCCAAAACCTCATAACCCCAGTGTGATCAAGAGAAACACAGACAAACCCAGATTTGGGACCTTCTACAAAATACCTGACATGTACTCTCGAAAACTGCCAGGGTCGCGGAAAAGCAGACAAGACTGAGAAACCGCCCCAGCCAAGCGGAGACTACATGCAGTGTGATACCCTGGATGGGATCCTGGAAGAGGGGAAAGGACATCCGTGGAAGCCCTGGTGAAATCCAAATCCCATCTGGACTTCAGTTAATAGTAATGTACTGATGTTACTTTCTTAGTTTTGACAAATATGCCACAACCACTGATTATATAAGGTGAGAGGGCAGTGGTGGTTCAGTGGTAGAATCTCACCTTCCGTGTATGAGACCCGGGTTTGATTCCCAGCCAGTCCACCTCATGTGCAGCCACCACCCATCTGTCAGTGGAGGCTTGCATGTTGTTATGATGCTGAACAGGTCTCAGCAGAGCTTACAGACTAAGATGGACTAGGAAGAAAGACCTGGCCATCTACTTCTGAAAATCAGCCAGTGAAAACCCTGTGGATCACAATGGATCCACAACCGATCATGGGGATGGTGTGGGACTGGGCAGCATTCTGTTTTGTGTGGAGTCGACTTGATGGCAGCTAACAATAACATCAAGACTGGGATTCAACCCTAGGACTTCTGACTCCAAAGCCTAGCTTCTCCCCTGCCCCACACTCCCAACAGTCACTCTGCCTTTGAGTGACATCATTTCCTAGACGAGGGCACTCAGATGAGGCAGTCTCCTCAAAGCCACACAGCTCGTGACAGAGCTGGGCTCTGGACTCTGGGTCCTGGTGTCCAGTCTTCGGACACCAGTCTTCACTGTGCCCCTAAACGGACAAACGGGTGAAAAAATGAGGCCCCCCCTCCATTCCTGGGGGTGCTCACACCTTGCAAAGTTCCATTTTCGCCCAGGACCTACCAGGAAGTCTCTTTTGCAACGAGGAATGACCCCCTGGACCTTTGGTTTGGCCACATTTATTTTGACTTTTAATATATGTATTTTTTCATTATAGGAGGAAAGGGAGAAAAGGACACTTTATTTTGTGTTTCTGACTTTTCCAACTTTATGTCACTCAGTGCACTGGCACCGGGCAGGGCGTGAAGGGCCGGGCGGCTGTGCAGGTGTAGCCAGCGAGGCGCGGGGTGCTGGGGAAGGTCTTGCGCATGCCCATGCACTTCTCCTTGTCGATGCAGAGCGTGTTGGCCTTGATGGCCAGCTCGTGCTCCAGCCGGGACTTGGTCATCACCAGCAGCTGCAGCGTGTCCTGCGTCTCCCGCAGCCTCAGCTTGAGGGTCTGCAGGGTGTCGTCGATGGTGAACACCTCATTCACGAGCCTGGGTGAGAGCAGAGGAGAAGCTACAGCTCCTTCGGCCATTCAACACAGATGCACCTACTGTATGCTGGGAACTGTGCCAGGTGCCGGGAGACAGCGGGGAACAAGACCGCCCACCCAGTGAGGAGACGTTTCGGCTATTCCAAGGGCTCCCCAGAGACCCTGGTGGTGCAGATGGCTAACACACTCAACTGCTAAATGAAAGGTTGGAGGTTTCAATCCACCCAGAGGCATCTCAGAAGAAAGGCCTGGCAATCTACTTCCAAAAAATCAGCCATTGAAACCCCTCTGGAGCACAGTTCTACCCTGACACACATGAGGTTGCCATGAGTCAGAGTTGACTTGACGGCAGCTGGTGTTTGAGGGCTCACCAGGGAGAGCTCTACAGAGAGGGAGATGGGAGAATGAGGGAGACGTGAGCTGGGTGCCTCTTCCATGGAGCCTAGAGAGAGGGTGAAGCTGTCAGAGGCAAAGGCCATGTCTCCAGCCTGAGAGGCTCCCTCTCCTTGACTCTGAGGGGAAAGCCTGAAGGTTTCCAGAGCACAGGGAAGCTACGAAACCATCCCTCATGTCAACAGCTACGAAGACTGCAGGGCGCAGAGGACAAGTCTTCCCTGTGATGGAAAGCCATCCAGTGGGTCAGCGGGCTAGACCTTGAACTCTAGACCCCTCACCCAGGGCCCTGTTGAGTTGTGGGATGAGAAGTCCTGAGTGGTGGGACTTTGTGACCCAGGTTTCCTGGGAGCTCCTGAGACCCACCCCGCCTCCTCTCAGGACCCCTGGGGACCCCGGGCCTCCAGCACTCACTTGAACTGCGGGATGTCCCTGCACAGCTCCACGTTGGGGCGCCGGGTTCGGCACTCCAGCCTTGTCTGTGCCACCTTGAGCGGGCACTCCTTGGCCATGATGGACCTTTCCAGCAGCGTGATGGTGTTCTCCGCCTGAAAGATCTCCTGTAGCGTCTGCGGAAAACATGAGGTATCAGCACCTTCCAGGCCCCTCTGGCCTCACCCCCACAAACAGGAGGTCAACTAGTTCAGGCTCCAATCAGGTGCTTAAATTATGCAGGCCCCAACGCTGAACACCTCTGGGGACAAGCAACTCACTCTTCCTAGGAAGCTGCTTCAGTCATCTCTCGTCACCCATGAGACCGAACGCTGGCAGGGGCAAGCACCCAGCTTGGTTTTATTTTTTATCTCCAGTATCCACTGTAGGGATCAGCCAGCCAATCAGTGTTCAGTGAGAGGAAGGCAAAGGCAGGCAGGCAGGCAGGAAGGAAGGAAGGCTGGCAGGCAGGCAGGAAGGAAGGAAGGCTGGCGGGCAGGAAGGCGGGCAGGCAGGTAGGCAGGCAGGCAGGAAGGTTTTTTAGATTAACACAAATAATCCAAAACAACAGTTAATCTCTAATTCCAAATTAATCTTTTTATAACCCAGAATTTACCTTCCTAATTAGACCAGTAACTAGGTCAGTAAATAAGCTTGGAAGGAAGGAAGGAATGGAGGGAAGGAGGAGGGAGGGAGGAAGGCAGTAAAGAAGTCAAAATTTTCTATCTATCTGTAGAAATATTTTTCCCAATATACTGCCACCATGTGCCCTGCAGGAGTCCCTGCATGGCGCAAAGAGTTAACACACTCAGCTGCTAACCAAAAGGTTGGAGGCTCGAGTCCATCCAGAGGCACCTCGGAAGAAAGGCCTGGTGGTCTCCTTCAACCACTGAAAACCCTACTACTTCAGCCATTGAAAACCCTCTGACACGCATGGGGTCACCATGAGTTGGAGCTGACTTGACAGCAACTGTTTTTGTTGTTTTTTTCCCATCGTGCCTACAGTTGATGAAAGTGCAGACCCCAGGAAGGGACATGAAGGAGGCTGCTGGGGGCTGGGAATGCTCTCTATCTTGATTTGGATGGAGGTGTCACAGGTGTATACAAAGGCAAAAATTCGCCACCCTGTGTACTGTAAGACTGTTACTCCTTAAATAGATTATAAAATGAAAATCAGAAAAATGTCAGTCACAAGAAAAGATAAGCAAAATGTTGAACTTTGTGTTGGGTGCATGGGAAGTCTTTTATATGATTCTGTCTTCTTCTCTGTGTTAGAAATTTTCCATAATAAAGAATGAACAAATGAAGAATGAATAAAAAACAAGAACACCAGGAAAGTCTGTTACCAGAAAGAACCTGATCTTGCACTTTGTCAACCATGAACACACGCAGAACGGAGCGGCTGGTACAAAACCTTTCAGAACCTATGGATTTCACCTCACTGTGGCTGAAACATCCGTTCCCCGCCCCTACAGTTGCACAGCCCTAGATCTGTGAGCAGGTTTGTTTCTCATGGTGCTCCTATCCTACGAGAAGGTTCTTTGGAGATAGGCTGTGCTGACACCCCCTCTCAGACTTGGTAGGGCCCAATGGCAGGGCCCCCAGCAGGATACCTTGCCACAATGCCCCCCAATATCCAGAGGGGTGTGCCAGCATTGCCCATGACCAGAAAGAGCTTGATTTCATTTGCCCAGGGGTACAATACCATTTAGAGAGCCCACTCACCAGCTCCATCAATAACTTCTTAACAGAATCACTACTTGAGATCAACCTGCGCTCCTCTTCAAGGGCATTGGCTTTGTAAGTGTACCTGCTATCTTGAAACAAGATGATAACTAATAAACATCTTTTATCATTTCTACCCTATCAGTATATTGAGGACAGTGGTCGTTCAGTGGTAGAATTCTTGCCTTCCATGCAGCAGACCCGAGTTTGATTCCCTGCCAATGCACCTCATGTGCAGCCACTGCCCATCTGTCAGTGGAGGCTTACGTGTTGCTAAGATGGTGAACAGGTTTCAGTGGAACTTCCAGTCTAAGACAGACTAGGAAGAAAGGCCTGGTGATCTACTTTCAAAAACCAACCAATGAAAACCCATGGATCACAATGGTCCAATCTGCAGCCAGTCTTGGGGATGGTACAGGACTGGACATCATTTTGTTCTGTTGTGCATAGGGTCACCATTAGTTGGGGGCCTACTTGACAGCAACTAACAACGACAACCCTTTCAGTATACTGAAGAAGGTGTATAATTCAAAGAAACTGCTAGTGAAACCCTACTTGAGAGTTCCATTGTTAAAACCATGGGAATTGTTAAGAGAGAGAGAGAGAAAAGAGATTATATCAAGATGTATATCAAAAAGTACTATCTGCCATCTAAGATACAACTATTGGTCTCTACTTGTCCAGAGCAAAAGAGAAAGAAGGAAACCAAAGACTCAGAGAAGAAACTAGTCTACAGGACTGATAGCCTACATGAACCACAGCTTCATCTTTCATGAGACCAGAAGAACTAGATGGTGCCCAGCTACCACTACTGACGTTCTGACCAGGGACACAATAGATGGTCCAGGAGAGAATGGAGAATAATGGAGAACAAAACTCAAATTCTTAAAAAGGGTCAGATTCACTGGACTGGTAGAGATTAGAGGAACCTCCAAGACTATCACCCTGATATACCCTTTAAACTTTGTACTGAAACCACACCCGGAAGTCACCTTTCAGCTAAATACCACCTTTCAGCTAATTAAACAGTATCTCAGTTGGGGGGTGCTATCTGCATGTAATGTGGGGTAAATGACTCTGCATTTCAATACTTTCTACCTTTTCTATTTTAGACTAATGGTAAGTCATAACGATTTTTTAAATGAAGGATCCCAAAGACCTCCTCAGATCATACTCAGACAATTGTACCTTCCAATATATTCTCCATTCACGCACACATACACCAAGGCAGAATAGGGGCATTAGTAAGAGTACTGAGTCTGGGGTCAGACCGCTGGAGCCAAATCTCGGTACTGTCACTTAGTAGCTGTAAGACCTTGGCTGAGTTATGCATCCATTTCCTCATCTGTAAAATGGGGGTACTAAAAGTACCCACCCGTAGGGGTGCTGTAAGGACAAAATGGGCTGATGTGTGTACAGCACTTACAAGAGTGCCTGGCCCCTGCCAGGTGCTTATTAGAGGTCAGCTATTGGAATGATCCCACTCTGTTTCTCAACTATAAGACCAGTAAGTTCAAATTGCTGATGTCAGATAGATCTTGGCTGAAAGCAGAGAATACCAGAAAGATATTTACCTGTGTTTTATTGACTATGCAAAGGCATTCGACTGTGTGGATCATAACAAATTATGGATAACATTGTGAAGAATGGGAATTCCAGAACACTTAATTGTGCTCATGAGGAGCCTGTTCATAGACTGAGAGACAGTTGTTCGAACAGAACAGGGGATACTGTGTGGTTTAAAGTCAAGAAGGGTGTGCATCAGGGTTGTATCCTTTCAGCATACTTATTCGATTTGTATGCTGAGCAAATAATCCAAGAAGCTGGACTGTATGAAGAAGAATGGGGCATCAGGATTGGAGGAAGACTCATTAACAACCTGCATTATGCAGATGACACAACCTTGCTTGCTGAAAGTGAAGAGGACTTGAAGCACTTACTGATGAAGATCAAAGACCATAATCTTCAGTATGGATCGCAGCTCAACATACAGAAAACAAAAATCCTCAGAGCTGGACCAGAAAGCAACATCATGATAAACGGAGAAAAGACTGAAGTTGTCAAGGATTTCATTTTATTTGGATCCGCAATCAATGCCCAGGGAAGCAGGAGTCAAGAAATTAGATGAGGTATTGTGTTGGGCAAATCAGCTGCAAATGACCTCTTTAAAGTGTTGAAAAGCAAGGATGTCACTTTGAGGACTAAGGTGTGCCTGACCCAAGCCATGGTATTTTCAGTCACCTCATATGCATGCGAAAGCCGGACAATGAATAAGGAAGACCCAAGAAGAACTGATGCCTTTCAATTATGGTATTGCTAAAAATATTGAATATACCACGGACTGCCAGAAGAACGAACAAATCTGTCTTGGAAGAAATACAGCCAGAATGCTCCTTAGAAGCTAGCATGGCAAGACTTCATCTCATGTACTTTGGACATGTTATCAGGAGGGACCAGTCCATGGAGAAGGACATAATGCTTGGTAAAGTGGAGGGTCAACAAAAAAGAGGAAGACCCTCAACAAAATGGACTGACACAGTGGCTGCAACAGTGGGCTCAAGCATAGCAAAGATTGTGAGGGTGACGCAGGACTGAGCAGTGTTTCGTTCTGTTGTACATGGGGTTGCTAGGAGTTGAAACCGACTCAACGGCACCGAACAACAGTAATACCACTGTTTCCAAGAAGCCTCACCCAATCCTCCCAACTGAAGTCAGTCATGTCTCCTGGGTGAGCTGTGGTTTGTGTCTCCATTAATGGATCTCCCACAAGCCTGTTTACAGCAGGATAAGTCGCGTCACCCACCCAGAGTGTGAGCTGCAGTGCAGGGTCCACTCTGCTTCCATCTCTGTCCCCTCTCCACCCCCTAGCTGCCCCCATCTCCCTGGCCTGGGGTTGGAGCCCGCCGCTGCCCCGTAGCCTAACCCCCACCAGCCCCGCCTGTGCATGCCCTTTGTACGTGACTTTTAAAAGTGGCTTTTTCATTTTTATAGCTCTCTTTTAGGTATAATTGACATGCAGTAGGGTCGCTATGAGTCAGAACTGACCCGAAGGCACCTAACAACAACAAGAAAACTGCGCATAGTTAAAGGGTACAGTTTGTGGAGTTTTGACATATGCATTCACCCTTGAAGCCATCTCCATAATCAAGATAACGAGGGTATCCATCACTCCCAAAGTTTCCCTCATGATCCCTCCTGCCTGCTCCCGCCCGCAGGCAACCACTCATCTGCTTTGTCTCAGATATATCTGTTTGCATTTCTGGAATTGGGATCATACAGTATGGGTGGCATGGAGGGTCTGCATTCTTTCATTCAGCATAATTATTTTTATTTTATTTTTTTATTGTACTTCAGGTGAAGGCTTACAGAACAAATAGTTTCTCATGAAACAGTAGTACATATATTGTTTTAT